CTCAGTTATATCAACACCGCCACAGTCATATCAACACAATCACAGCCATGTCAATAATATCAACAATTTCACTGACATGTCAACACAGTCAGAGTATTATCAACACTCTCCTTCATATCAAAACATTCACAACTCATGTCGGTTTACTTTGTTTTGACACAGAAGATAATCTTGTTAGGGCAGGATTACAAATACGATAAGGTTGATCCTTTCGACTTCACGTCTCGCCATAGTGAGTTTAAATACACCATAGTGAAGTCTGTCTTAGAAGATGGCAACAAATACGGGACGAATGTTCTTCAGGAAGATTAATGGACACACTCTTTGTCTTTTAGTCGCACACAATTAGACAACGCATCGTCGTTACAGACATGATGAAGTTTTTAACTAGATTTTGTCAATTTAGTGATGAACCGCCTGGAACAGGTCCACATTTTCGATTAGAATGTCCTTGCTATCTCATAGAACGCACAATGTTAGAACTGCCGTGTTGGGGGTGAAATATTGTCCCTTGATGCAATTTTAAACTGCAACATTAGAGACAACCTAATGATATATTGTCTTGTAGAAATAAACATTAAACCAAATGTATGTGTTGCATTTAACCCAGTTGTGGCTGACTGGTATTCTAGCTCATTTCCTACATTATCCTGCTACTTCATTTATGTAACTGGGGCGGTGGGGTAGCCTAGTGGTTAAGGCGTTCGATTCCCCACATGTGTGAAGCCCATTTCTGGTCTCCCTCCCTATATTGCTGGTATAAAGCTAAAAGTGGCGTTAAACTAAACCCAATCACTAACTCAAATATACATTCAATGTACCTTGTCCAAGTACCAGTACACTGGCTGTTACTGCAACACATTTATAATGACCGATCTACAAGCGTATTAAAGGCATGTGCTTTACCATATACAAGATATTAACACTTCAGTACTATATCAGTTATATTGACAGATCTACAAGTGTATTAAAGGCATGTGCATTACCATATACAAGAGATTGGAAGATCACATAAATCTTTACAACACAACAAGCATCGCAGTGTCAGTAGCAGAGGTTGCTGAACGGCTGACAACATTACATTAATACCCACTTGAACCACTCCACAACTCAAAGGCCCTTATAGTGATATGACTGTGTTGTACAATGGCTACCGCTCGCCTCCTTACAACACTACTCGGAAACGAAATAGTTCCTGTACATGTTAGGCAGTGTGAATACAGTGACGTATTGAATGACAATTTAAGGCCGCCAGCGTGGAGAGAACGTTTATCCGGAGAGCGGAATGTTGGTTCAATTCCTATCCGTCATCCTAAAATAAGCAGATAATGGTACTTGGTGTTACCCTGCCTTGTCGGGGAAGAAGTCGGTCTGTACGCATGGAACAAAGTATCGCAACATCCCATATTTTTCACAGTATTAATATGTTACCATTACCTATAGCAAATAAACATATCCAGGCCTCAGTTTGACTTACTACCAGGATCAACTAATCCTCACGAAACAATTAAATGGAAAATCTGTACTTGAAAAGAACCGATAACCATAGTTTACTTGGAGAAGCAATTCAGACATGAAAAGATTTGGTAATTTTTAGTGCTGGTAACTATGGTGGTGTGGCGTTAACAAGAATATGACGTTATGTCATACAGTCCACAGGCACCTCACATACGTTTTAACCGAGCACAGTGTATATCTGATGTAACCTCCACTATCTGCAATAACATCCCCGACCCTCCTCCCCATTGAAGGTGTTACACGTGAAATCACAAACGGCAGGTGCACGTTATGGTCTAGCATTGTCGTCCATGAAGAATGGCCTTTTGTTTAAAGGATGGTCATCGAAATGTGGTACAACAACTCTCTCTGGGATGTTAGTGATGTACCGTTGCCAATTTACGTTCTGTTTGATAACTCAAAGGTCACGTTTATCGTCATGTGAGAGGCATCTCCACGTGCTCTATGACATTCGTGTGTGCATGTGGAGTGTTTCTGCGGTACCTTTCGTACGGCCAGTGGGCCCTGCCCATGACCTCAAATTCCAGTGACGTCGAGATTGGCACCAGGCCAGCCGTGCCGTTTGTACTCAGGGGATAACAACGGACGTCTGATAACTCGTCTGGTTTTTAAGTTACCTAATCATTTAACCTTGATATGTAAAATACATGCATTCTTAAGTAGCCTTAAAAGGACAACACTCTCAGTTCATATTGTGATAAAAATCTTCAAATAGATATATTCTAGTACAAAGTTCATTGCCCGCAAGAGCAATACAGGGGGTAGAAAATGGGCTCCATTGTCTGATGCTTTTAAATAGGTCTCACGTCTTCTCGCTATTCATAATTAACGTTTCTATACTTTGCTTGGTGTTTATATGCTCTGGGTGCCCAGTAACTAACAATTTGTAAATTTATCTTAGCATGGTATTTCATTTACATTTCATGATTTCTGTGTCCATAACTTTAACATGTTGTGCCTTAACTTGGTAGTATTAATTATTACCTTTAATAGGGAAGTTTCACCAATCCCAATCTGAGCCTGCAAGTAAGGGTTAGTGTGTTGATACCAGATTTGAAATTGT